AGCTAGATGCAATAGGAAAGTCTTGGGTTTGATTCCACACCAGCATTACTGCTCTCAACCAGGATGCCACTCGGGATGCTACAAATAGCCTCTGATAGCTCAGTGGGTAAAGGCAACACTAGCCCAGGTACATACTGGCAGGTTCAAATCCTGGTGTTTGCAGCCATTTGGAAAGCAGTTGAGGTGTTCAGTTGCCCTTTGAACCTGGGTTAGAAAGAGGAAAATCAGCCAAGTTTCCCACTTGTGGCTACTGTTCAACAACCCCTACTGGAGGGGTATGTGTGTTTCTGTATGTGTATCACTGTCGGGTGAGGACAGGCTTAGCTTGGCAATAAGTTAACTCAGCTGACCAGTATGCCAACACTCACAGTTCAGGTTCAAGGGGAGAGTTTTGCAATATCAGCACAGTGATGTTTATTAAACTGCTTGCAAAGGTAATTACATAACGGCAGGAGAGAGGATATCCTTAAAATGGAGATTTTGTCTCAAAGATACAACATATGAAGATAGAAGATTGAAGGTTCTTATGTACTTCCCGCCCTCAGTGTTGCTGAAAGTTGATTTCGAGGATGTTTATACCGCCCACATTTTTTGCTTTCTCGCCTGATGTGTCAGTAGCAATATAGGGTTTGAAATCAAATAGAATGCTCAGTATACACCAGAAAGGAAATCCTTTATTTTATGTGTTTGTGTCTCCCAGGTATTTGTTGTCTAGGATTTTTGTGTCTTGTTCCTCATGCTGGAATAGTAATCTATAGGTGACTGGTACCTTATGCATGAGACAAACAAACGGAGAAACTGTGAGAGCCATTACAGCTCAGTTTGACTTGGTCCTCATCATTTTCTCTTTCTCATTGTCTCACTCATAGAAAGGTAGAATTACAGCAACAACTAATTAACACTATAAGAGTGCCTTTCATGTTAGGAGGATGTCCAAAAGTTCTGGACAATCTAGGATTTACACCCAAGCCAGGGGTAGGGGCTGAGGGGGTGCATGGAAAGTTGACCAAAAGCACGTTCAAAGAGGGCTTGAAGCGTACCTTGAAGGAGGCGGGGAATGGTAAGTTGTAGGGACCTTGGGATGGAGAGTGGGGGCAGATAGCCTGAAAATCTGTCCACAGTGGTGGGATGGGTAGGGCAGGGGATGTGAAACAGACAAGTGCCCACCGAGCAGAATTTGTCAAACAGAAGGAACAGCTGGATTGGTAGGGAGAAAGACCATAGAGGGATTTATGTACACCATGAACAGTACTGCTACTGTTCATTATGGATCCCTCTGGATGGACGCACACAGGCACCTTAAGCAAGGTGACTGGGTTGTTATAAGGTGCAATAATCCCAGCCTGATTTTCTGCCTTCCCCCTCCCAGCCTAAAAATTCAGCCCAGAAATCAACAACAGCAACTTGCATTTATATAGCACCGGTCACACCTCGGAGCCCTTAACATTGGCAGTGCTTGACGCCGAGCCAGGGAGAAAGGGAAGGTGACTGTAGGTAAGGAGGAACTAAGTGAGGAAGGGCTCTCTGTATTGTTCCCACTGCTGCTATAGCTGAGATCTCTTCACTCAGACCTGACCAAGGACTGAATGCAACACTTTCAGGTATGCATGGCTCAGAACCACATTACATGGTGCATTTACCTAGCAAGGCTATTGGAGTCTAACCTTGTGACGATGACAAATCTATTGGAATTATCTTTTTGCTACTGAAATGAAATTCACTAAAGCATTCCCTCACAAAATTCTCATTGGAAACCATACCCAGCCTTTTCAAAGTGTCTCAGTTGATTTGATTTTCAGACCTGAACACAGGATGAGGTAAAAACTTACCTTTTCTCATCCGCTGCATGGCTAGAAAGAGTTGGCACTGTCTGCATTCATCATTTTTTTTAAAAGAGAAATAGATTGATTTTTAAATGCATCATTGATATAATAAGCAATAAAAAAACAGATTTCTAAATTTTAATGCAAAGAACAATTGAAAGTGAGTATTTCCTTTCTTTAGTGGAGTGGAACTGAATTCAACGGCATGGAATTTCTGTTTTTTCACATTTAGTGATAGGAGGAATTACTGAATGAGATGTGGCCTTAGCATTTTGAATACTATTAATGATAATTGATTGATATGGTGCATGTAGAGTTGCAACATTTTATATGTCATCATATCTTTATTGTAAAACAGACAAGCACAGAGCAAAAGAAGGAAATTACAGTGTACAAGGTTACACTCTAATTTCCTTGAAAGAGCTGGGGTTTGGAATTAAGATGGATGGCTCAATCACCAAAACAAAAAAATCGGTTGTACAGTCTCTCACAGTTAATAATAATAATGATAATAATAATAATACTTGTATTTGGTCTAGTACCTTTTATGTCAGAACTTTGTCCCAAAGCACTTCACAGGATTTACTGTTAAGTGGGGATTGTGCATTCGGCGAATGCTGCAGCCCAATTGTGCACAGCATTGTTCCACAAACAGCCATGAAATGATGACCAGTTTTATTTGGGGGATTGTTGACCATTTTATCCAGTTCTCTGGATAACCATCACAAATCACTTTACAGAAAATCGCTGTCAAGTGCAGTGACTGTGAGCATCAGCAAATAATGTTTTCTAACTAAGATGTAAACAATGTAATCCTTATATCCATTGCCGACTTGGAAATTATGTCCTTCAGATATTTATTCAGAATGTCTTGAAACAGGGATGTTCCAGTGAAGTTCAGAGTGCTGCAAACCTGTAATGATCATTACTGAAAGGAAACATTCAAGTCATTACAATACAACTGTCCATAGTCACAAACAAAAGAACATCCTCTGGCCTGTGATTTGGACTGAGCATCACTTCCATTCTACTCATACAGAATAATGCTTACATTACAAATACTTACACATTCCAGAAAGCAGCAAAGTGTGTTTACATCAATAAATCTATCCCTTTTAGTGGCTGTCATTTGCTTTTGCACCTCTCAGTCCAGTTGAGTCAAAGACAGACTCAATTAATTTTTTGGGGGGGTCTTTCTTCCTTAGCTATTATCTGTCAGCTACAATTTCTTTGTTTGACAAGTGCAGTTTAAGACAAGCGATTTGGAGCCTTTCACACTGATCACATCTCACATCAGCTGATAAAATAGAAACCAAGTCCCCGCTTGTAACAAAAGATGATAGAGTCGTACATAATTGTGATCATTTTGATATATCTGTGGTTTTGAGGCATCAAAACAGAATTTCACTTCTGATAAATTGAGCAATGTTGTTGAGAAGAATGGTTTTCCAAACAGTGTCAGCAACATCTGTTCAATGTTACATTGATTGTAAGACTATTTAGAAAGGATTTGGATAAATGTTTGAAGAACAAGAATGAAGAACAAGAATGTAAAAGGCTACTGGGAAATAGAAGGAATTAGAAATACCAGAAGTTTATGGAGTCCTGCAGCTCAGTGGTTAGAGCACTCGCTTTGCAAGCGAGAGATCTGGGTTCGATTCCCAGCAGGGCGAAACCTTGGGTAAGTTTCCTTACTCCACACGCTTGATAATAATCCCTCAAGAAAAAAACAATAATAAATTGGTCACTTCAATCCACGACTGTTTGTGGGACACTGCTGTGTGCAATTGGCTGCTGTGTTTCGTCCACAAATACACAGTCAATTCACTTTACAGTCTATTCTTTGAAACGCATTGAGATGTCTAGAAGATGTGAAAAATGCTATATCAAGCGCAAGGATTATTATTATTATTATTATTGAGTAGAGCCCAATTATAACATTGTATTTGAGGTCAATACAGTGAAATCTCAACCAGTGTTATAACAAGGCATGATAATAATAATAATAATAATAATCCTTGCATTTGATATAGCGCTTTTCACGTCGGGAGGACGTCCCAAAGCGCTTCACAGAACACACTGTAAAGTGAATTGACTGTATATTTGTGGGCGAACGCGGCAGCCAATTGCGCACAGCAATGTCCCACAAACAGTCGTAGATTGAAAATGACCAATTTATTATTGTTTTGGGTTTTGGAGGGATTATTATTAGGCGTGTGGAGTAAGGAAACTTGCCCAAGGTTTCGCCCTGCTGGAATTGAACTCAGGTCTCTCGCTTGCAAAGCGAGTGCTCTAACCACTGAGCTACAGGACTCCACAGATCAGTAGTCAGTGCTTCTACATCCACTTTGACTATGTGCAGAAAGCTAGCCAGCTTCCAGGTAATGACTAGCTTCCTGATCGCCAGCTGCCTACCCATGCTAAAAATGGGCAGCTATGGGTCATCATGTTGCACATAGGAAGTGCCATCAACAAAGACCTGATGACCTGGAAGTTGACTATTTTTCAGCACTCAAGGAGCCACCCATTGCTTTGAAAAGAGTTAACCAACGTTCTGTGTAAATTTTATAGTTTTTGGTAAGTAAAAGGTCCATAGCCCAATTGTGCTGTAAGTGAACTTGCATTATAATAGAATGCGTTATATAACACAGTTCCACTGTAGTTTGTTCCAATGGATCAGTCAGCCCCAGTTCAGTCTAATGGCTGAATAGCCCAATTTAGTTTCTTATTCTGCAATTTCAATGATTCTAGGACTGTTCTACAATGCAAAATTTCTGAACATCTTGTAGGAACACCTTGTACAATGATACAATACACATATTATCATTCAACAATGGCCGTATTTGTTCCCCATTGAGTGAAGAAAGTCTCCACTTCCACCTGGAATTGTACTTATATAGTTAATGGCTACCAAAGCCATGACTAATAACAATAATCCTTACATTTGATATAGGGCCTGTCCAAAAGCATTTCACAGAATATCTTGTAACCTGCATTGACTATAAGTTTTGTGGACAAACATGGCAGCGAATTTACACAAAGCAATGTACTACAAACAGCCATAAATGAATGAACAATTTTATTTGGGGTTTGTTAGCCTGGCACTGGAAGAAACTACCTTCTCTGGAAATGAGTCTAAGATCATAATATGACTGAAGAATATCTTATCTTTTTCAGGTATGGAAAAATAGTATCAACAAAGGCCATCCTAGACAAAAACACCAACCAGTGCAAAGGTATGTATGAAAATGTTGCATTTTGTACTTTGTGTAAGTATGATGGTATGTGCTTGTGTTTTTTTCCTGAGAATTATACTCTCTTTTTAAGATATTTTTGACATTATCTCCCAAGCTCAAGATCAAATGTGGGTCTGTACTAGAGCCAAATGAGCCAATGGCTGTTGAGCCATTAGGAAAATCCCCCACTGGGAAGCCCTGCTTCTCACCACCACCATCTTTTAACAACACAGTTGAGGGCTGGGAATTCAATTAATGGGGGATTAGGAATACGAAACTTCATCCCCACCACTCTATGCACCTCGACAACTTTACTTTTATGCAAAATGTCCAACAGATGTATTTATTTGCATCATGTGTCATGATGATTGTCAGGAGCTATTCTTAAATCATGTTTTACACAGATACATTCAGTGCTTTACACCATGTACATAACTTAGGATCCATTGAATTCTGCTGGGAGGAAAAGAAATACTGAAATACAGCCAGGTTTGTTTTATTGTCAGTTTGGATTGACGGAGACATTCTTCACCCAGTCGTTTATATGATGTTGAAGATATGAAGCGAGATTTAATTGTAAATTGTGCAGACCTGACATTCAAGTGTTTACAGCCTTAGAATGCTTTTAAATATTCCAGTGGCTTGAAATTTCACCTGTCTCAGTCCGTAAAACCATTTTGCTGTCTTAAAAATTAACATCACTCAGAACTATGGAAAATTCTTAAACTTGGTTAACTCAGAAGCTGTTTATCTTCAGGTCTTATCAAAGAACCGACTTTCAAATTAAAACTGATTTCAGAAATTTCCCTAATTCTGTGCAATGCAACCTTAAATCTAAAGGGAAAATAGTGTTACAGACGCAAATTAGCTGGAATTTTGAATCTCAAGCCTAGACGGTGGATGAAATTATTCTGGGGGTATGGGGGGAGGGGAGCAAAACTCAGTTAAAGGATCATCTCTCCAACCTCAAAGACTCTAACGTCAAAGACTCCCTCCCTCTGGCCCTTGGTCACGGTCAGGGCAACTGAGAACAAAGATTTTTTGCTGTTTAATGGGAGTGGGGATTAACACTTAAAAAACAAACTTGATTTCAAGTCAATTGCAAGCTTAAGGGTGTCTGCTTTGGTTGACCTTTATTGGTGCATCAGTTCTTAAACCAAACTAGAGAGTTGACAATTTTTCCAAATCTTTTCCCGGTTAACATAGAATAAAACACCCAGACAAGCAAGCCATTAAATGCTTGTGTGTGTGCATGCGTGTGCGCACATTTAGAAAAATAAATGACTAGGCAGAGGTCAGCTAATGTCTTTGAAAATCCTGGCAATATTGCTGCCGCAGATCCATAAATTTCTCTATGTAACTGATGTTATTTCAGTCCCCTCAAAGTACTCATCTCTGTAGCTTCTCCCAGCCTGTTTCCGTAATGATGCCTGTCAGAACTCACTGTTTAATTGAAAATATTGCCTGAGAAAACAACAGGATAATTCTTTGTAACTGATTTTAAAAGGACGTTCTGATTGGGAAACTCCTTTTATGTCAGCTTTGTGCTTTTTCATTTTAACAACACTCTTTTTAGTCATTACTTTGTAGTACAAAGGATGATTTGATGGTCTGGATGTTTCAAGCTTGTGAAATGATTGAATCAGTCAGTAGGAAATTGTTGCATTAACTTATACTGTATACAATTTCCCAAATTATGTGAAAATCAGTGTCCTGAAAATCAAGAGCACATTTGAATGGCTATATACTGTATTTACATTGTTTGTGTAACTTTTAACACTGTAGCATGAAAGTGCCATCTCTGATTTAAAAAGAAAACAAAAAATGTATTATAATGTTTGAAAATATACAATGAACTTTATCAACATCCTCTCAGCCCTCAAGCTATGCTAGTGACTTGAAACACACTCCAAGGTCTGAGATTTTGTGCAATATTGTATATAGATTAGTCATGATTTTATACCTTTTTTTCTATCCCTCTTGAACTGCAGCTATTGAGATCCAAAATAATTCAACCCCGCTATAAACTAACCCATAAAACATTCTTTGTTGGTCAACATTTCTGGGTGTTTGATGTAACCCGGGCACTGTGTGCTGCAGCCCTTGTGATGTACTGTATAACACAGAAACGAAAGAGTCCTACCAACATCAACAACAACAGCAAACTAACATTTGTATCACGCCTTTCACGTCAGGAGAACGTCCCAAGGCGCTGGACAGACAGAATTACGGACCCGAGCTGGGGAGTCGGGGTCAGGGAGGGTGGAGGGCAGGGGGGGACGCAGGGAGATCGAAAGCACGGACAAAGAGGAGGGTTTTGAGGTGGGTCTTGAAGGTGGCAAGAGAGGGAGTGAGGCAGAGGGACTGCGGGATGGAGTTCCAGAGAGTGGGGGCAGAGTGGCAGAAGATCCCCCTGACAATAACAGGGAAAGCAAGGCGGGGGACGCGAAGCAGGCTGGAGCCTTCTGAGCGGAGGGATTGAGCAGGATGGCAGCGGATTAGGAGATCGCAGAGCTAGGGGGGAGCAAGACCGTGGAGGGCTTTGAAGGTGAGGACCAGGATCTTGAACTATGTGATGGGAAGCCAGTGGAGTTGGGCAAGAATGGGCAGTAACCTGATGATCCACAAGTCAAGTCTTAGCATACGCAGTCCTTTCTTGATAATCAGGTTCCCCTGTAAATGAAGGAGTCCATCACCTATCCATCTAATAAGTGAGTCAATGTTACAGTACAGGTTGATATAATGAGATACACCAGTATTCAGTTTACTATATTTTTTCCCCTTGAGGTCCGAAATTTCCCACTGACTTTAATAATTGTGCAGAATTTTGGAAAATTTCTAAATTCAGTGTTAATTTGAAAACCAACTACTGAAAAAGAACTGTGGAAAATTGGCTTACAAATTAAGTTTCCAACATTCTGCAGGTTCTTCAATTTTAAGACTAAGAACTTGAGGCATTGCAACCTCTCTCTGCTTGTGTAGCACATGATTAGATCAGTAACGAGGTGGTAGACAAGAGGGATATTATATCATATACACAAGACCAACAATTTTACATTCATACAGGGCCTTTCACTTTGGGAGGCCATCTCAAAGCACTTCACTGAGGTCGACTGGGATTCTGAGCTGAGGATGGGGAGAGCTGAGGAATAAGGTCGGAAAGGCAATAAGAAGCACGGTTGAAAAGAAAAATCTTAACATGGGCTATGAGGGGGAGAGGGAGGGCGAGATGGAGGAACTCCAGAATGGATTTCCTGAGAGCGGGCAGGATGGCTGAAAGCTCGCCCACGATGATGCAGCAGCCAGATGAGCGACATGAAGCAGGCTGGTGTTCGCTAAGTAGAAGAGGGAGTAGCTAGGGAGGTAGAGTTACAGAAGGCCACAGAGGTAGGGTGGGGGAGAGGCCATGGAAGAATTTGAATGTGAGGATAAGAATCTTGGATTTGATCCACTGGGGAATAGGGTTTCTAAACCAGGGGTTTATTTTGTTGCCTGTTTCTGGGTAAAACTACAGATTTGTTTTCTTTATATATAATGTTCCAATGTGTTAAACATTTTAAGCTACATAATCAGAACTGTTTGCCATGATAGGAGCAAAAACAATGGCTGGCAGATGCTTTCATTTTGTGGAAAGAACATTTAGGATGATTTAATACATATTATGGTTACTGGTGAAAAGGTTGTCTGCAGATGTGCCTGCTAAAGGGATAACTTCATTCACACTAGCTTTCTCCTCACTCACTTATACCTGAAACTTAGTTGGAAAGCTGTGCATTATTCCATAATAGGTCAGACTGCAGGGGGATAGCATTTTTATACTTCTGAAACTCTTGGTGCTTCTCCAACAACCATTGAGTCATTGCCATGTACTGTACATATCTTTAGATTTTGGAAGCTTTGGAGAAGCAGCCACTCTCTATCACTCTCCCAAAAATCCCTCTCCTTCGCCTCTGCTTCCAAAACCGTTTTAAAAATCTACCTCTTTGACTGCACCTCAGCAATCTGGTGGTGTTTGATGTGGAGTCAGAGAGCAACAGTGAGCTGCTAGTATTTGCTTTGGGGGTGTGGATAGAAACAACATTTGCTAAAGATGATGATAATACCAAATTAGGCATTATTAACAAGAAGAGAACAAAACACAGAGGGAGCTGGCCAGATTAGGTAATTGGACTGATAAGTGGTAGGTGTTTAATGTGGATAGGTTTAAAGTATTGTGTGCATGTCTGGTAGTTGCACTGCAGGAAAGGCATCCTACGATTGTAGAGCAATAAATAAATGATAAATAATTTTTGCATTTGATGCAAGTGCCTTTCATATCAGCAACAAGAACGTATATATCACCCTCCATGGAGGGTAGTGTCTCAGAGCGCTTAACAGTGGCAGAGCCTGACTCTGAGGAGGGGGGAGATGGCCATAAACATGGTCAAAGAGGAACGTTTTCAGGTGGGACTTGAAAGAAGGGAGAGAGGAGAAAGGATTGAAGGAGAGTGTTCCAGAATTTTGGGACGCAGTGGCTGAAAGCATGACCTCCGAAGGTGGGGCAGAAGGTGCGAGGGACGAACAGGAGGCAGGTGCCAGTCGAGCGGAGACGTCGGGTGGTGAATTGGGGAGTGAAGAAAAGGTGATAGACTTTTCTGATCCCACAGTATTATAATAATAATCATTGGATTTGGTGAAGCATCTTTCACTTTGGGAGGTCATCTGAGAGTGCTTCACAGGATATACTGTAAAGTGGAGAGACTGTGTGTTTTATGGGAGAAATACATTATGCTCCTAGGATTTGAATATCAAACAGCATTTTTTTCTAGTTCTTAATTATTTAAGTAAGCACATCCTCCAAACATGAAAGCCGCTACTGTATAAAAATGTAAATTGCATTGTATTTGTTGGTTTCTTTCTGAGATTCAAAAAACAGTGAGAACATTGAAGCTCTAATTCTTTGGTGTTTTCCTGATACTAGAACATGAGATTTTAATGCCTGGTGGGTTTTAGATTTATAT